ATGCCCAAGGAACAAATTTAACAAAAGCAAGAGAAGGCAACAGGTATGGGCATGCTTACTCACAATAAATACTCAAGCAATAAGAGAAAATTTAAGTTAACTGTGATGCAACTGTGATCATAAAATTAAAATATATCAACTACTCAGAAATTCAGAAAGAGTATTGCTGATGTAATTATATATGAACGTGTATAATGTGCGTGTGTATGAATAAATGTTGGTAGTACAAAAATTTTTTAATGCCTTTGGACAGGGTGGAAGTGAATTATAAATAAAAATGTTCTTTGGAGACTTTGCCTGGTGTTTAAGTGTAGCAATAGAAGAAAGAAATGGAGACAGCAGCATCCTCTTGAGATTTAATTCTGCTTGGATAAGGAAGGGAGTCGATTGACCGGATCATGACGGGAAATCGCCTCGTCATGAGAAACAACGCTTCTAATCACTGAGCTAGGATATGGATTGGTGTCAATAAAGTAACGTTTACATCAAGTATTCATTGTACTGGTTCAAAATCTCATCCTTGGAGAAGGCCCAACGGCTGCCAAACTGGCTTCCTGCTTCCTCCTCTTACTTTCTGTCCCCAGGGAAGCTCTTTGACACAATGAAACTTTTCCTTGTTTGTGAAATGGGAGTAAAAATTTTTAGTTTTGCAGAAACCTTGGGAGCAGTTGGTGACAGTGTATGTAGCTCCAGAAACTGATCGGTAAAGCCCTGCTATTTCTGATCTTGCCAGTGGTAGTGGTAAACTGAGACCTTCTGGAGAAATTGCTAACTTAAAGGTCTGGAGTCTCTAGAAGGATCCTCAAATGATACTGTACCTGGTGGAACCAAATACAATATTTAAAGGCATTTCCATATGTATTATTTCTTCATTTTTATTTTATGTGAAGTGTTTTGCCGAAAAGTATGTAAATGCAGCATGTGCATGCCGTGTCTGTGGAGTCCTGGAAAGGAAATCAGATCCCCTGGACTGGAGTTACAGACATGGAACTGTGAGCTACCATGTGGGTACCGGGAAACAAACCTGGCCCTCTTCAATGGCTGCCAGGTTCTTAATGCTGAGTCATCTCTCCAATTCCCTTCTTTATTTTTAAAATAATAGATAATATTTGCATGAATATATGGGGCAAGGTAATGTTTCATTACATATTTATGCTGTGTATGCTGACCAACTAAGAAGAATCAAAACAGCCATTACCTCTAATACTCATCATTTTTTGTTGTTAAAAAATGTTTAGTTTTTATAAATAAAAAAATAACTTCTTTTTTAGTTATTTAGAAGTTTATAGTGCTTTCTAATTAAGTGTAAAGGTTATTTTTGTTGGACTACTCACTATGTAGTCCAGGCTAGCCTCAAACTCACAGAGATCTGCCTGGCTCTGCCTCCCAAGTGCTGGGATTAAAGGCGTGCGCCACCACCGCCCGGCTACCTTCCAATACATTTTAAAAAGTAAGGACCAGGGGTATCGATCATCAATGGGGAATTTGTCTGGCATGGATGAGGTCCTGGGCTCAGGATTCAGTAATGTAAAACAGCAACACAAAAATCTAAGCAGAGTGCCCAGGCTTATCTTCCCAGTACTCAGGAGAGACAGGAAGGATGGAGTGTTCTGGGCTAACCTGGGCTGCCTGTCTTCACAAACAACAGCAAACGAACTGAGTAAACTAATAAAGGTAGGTTTTCCTTTTGTCTTTTGTTTTTGTTTGTTTTGAGACAGGGTCTCCCTATGTAGTTCCAGCTGTCCTGAACTCCATATATAGAATAGGTCTACTTCAAACTCACAGATATCTTCCCGAGTACTGGGATTAAACGTGTATGCCACCACGCCCAGCCTGATTTTGTTTTTGTTTTCTAAAGCAGTTTTAGGTTCACTGTGGTGAATAAAAGGCACAGTTTCCCATACTCCTCTGGCTTCCATGTAAATACAGCCATCCCTGTATGAAAATCCTAAACAGAAAGATACACTGGCTAGACAATGGTCCGGACACTGTAACTGATGCATGGAGACCACCTTTAAAAACCCTCTTTCTTTATCTCTCTCTACCTTCAATCTCAGGCAATCATTGCCAGCTCTTCATCTCTTCCAAAATACTCTGCAGCTGGAATCATGAATCACATAGTGTTTCCACACTGACTTCTTTCTTTAAAGATTTTTGTTTTTATTTATTTTTAAAACCAGGCTGGGGGGGGCATGTAAAAGTGTTGTAATTCCACTAGAGAATACAAAGATAAATTACTTCCAGAGACTGAGTGATGTTCCTCCTGCATGATATCTCCAGAAGTAATCTTGTTATAACGTATAGAAAGGCAGGCATGTAAAAAGGAAGTTGAGATGAATTTCATCAGAAGACTCAGAGCATCAGGGTCTGAAGTGGGAGAGCAAGGCTTCAGGTCCAAAGAAGCAGGAGAAATATATCAGAGCCACAGGCAGCCATGAGGGTAGGGGTAGGCCAAGGGAGAGGCAGGAGAGCCGGTCCCTTCAGTTTAGAAAAAATGAATAGGTTTTCAGGGGGCTGTTTGTGTAAGTTCCATACCATGTGGCCTCTGTGAGGATAAGAGTCATAATTCAAGGTTGTCTTGTGTTTGGGTAGTGGGAGTGGGGCACATTGGTAGCTGCACGCAGGAGAGAGAGAACTCAGCTCTGTGAGAGCTGCCACATTGTAACATGCTTGCTTACCACAGAAGTAATGATGCCACAGGGTACTGTGCACATCAGATGCCCCTTGGTACATTTCTTCCAGTAAAGGGCATCAAACCGATCAGGGTTGAGATGAGGCAACACCTGGTGAGCACTCTGAAACTGCTGTCACAACATGATGGGCACATAATCCTGTTGGATCAGGTAGATAGAGATAAGGACACAGAGGCTCAGAGAAGTTGAGCAACTAGTTGAAGGTCTCCCAGATAAGCCTAAATCTGCAAATTCAGAGCCCAGACTTCAGTCTCTGCATAAGTCACCCCTGGTCACTATGTGGCAATGAGTCCTTTCATGAGAAAAAGGAAGTTCCTGAGCTTGGAGAACAAATTTGTTCTTAGCTGCCTAAGAACAAATAGGACACTACACGTTCATTCCCGCACTTAGAGGCTGCCACTTTGGAGAGAACAGAGAGGTATATAGTGCAAAAGAAGAAAGATCTAGAAATGAGGTTAACTCCTGGAACAGAAAGTCACAGATATGCCAATATCTGGCACAGAGAAGGGAGCTCAATAAATAGAAGAAAGCAGAGCTGTCCATGGTAGAATTGGCTTCCTGTGAGACAAAGAAATCCTCGAAGGTATCCCCAGGGTGGGACTGGAGGGGTACCAAACAGAACCCTATGGAAGGGGTCATGATGAAGTGATACTGGATTATCTGTGTCTTTGGCCTGCACACCATCTGAATTGTCCTCTAGGATTCTCCAATAGACAGTGAGCTCTAGTCTCTAGGATTCTCCAATAGGAAATGAGCTCTAGTCTCTAGGATTCTCCAATAGGAAGTGAGCTCTAGTCTCTAGGATTCTCCAACAGGAAGTGAGCTCTAGTCTCTAGGATTCTCCAATAGGAAGTGAGCTCTAGTCTCTAGGATTCTCCAATAGGAAGTGAGCTCTAGTCTCTAGGATTCTCCAATAGACAGTGAGCTCTAGTCTCTAGGATTCTCCAATAGACAGTGAGCTCTAGTCTCTAGGATTCTCTAACAGGAAGTGAGCTCTAGTCTCTAGGATTCTCCAATAGGAAGTGAGCTTGGTTCAGGATGCAAACGTGAGCCAGTCCCAGACCATTGGCCCACATCAGAGCAGTGAGCTCATAAGATAACAGACAGACAGGGCTCAAGCTTCCCCCTTTCCAGCCCCATACCCAGGAGTCGGGATGGTTCACTGTGACTCTGGAGAGCTGGAAAACTGCTAACCCTATTCAAAGCTTGTGCAGCTTGATGACAGTTATTTGCAGAGAAAGGCTTTCTTTGTGAGCTTTGGCAGCTGTCACGGGTACAAGGAGGGGAGGAACCTCCTGCCCTGACAGATGGTGACAGTGGAAAAGACATCAACAAACCAGTCTCTGGTAGTCATGTGCTCAAAGGGCTTGAATGGGGCCCACAGCCCTTGTCCCATCTCCTCTGCCTCACATTGCACGGCTTGCTGTAGGAGGGAAATGTTCCGAGCATCACAACGTAGGCCCAAAAAGTGAACCTGCTCAACCACCGAAGGAATGCACAACTATTGGTAGCTGGCACAGACGACAGTTCCCATCAACACCCGCATTATCAGACCTTCAGAGTCTCTTGCCTGTGATTCGTGCATCCTGGAAAGTAGAAAGCCAGCGAGAGGGCAGTTGGGGAAGTGCAAGCTGCGGCATTGGTCAGCATTCAGAACACTGCTGCACAAGGCAGACAACACCTGCTGTGCAACTCTTGAGTGAATGCAGAAGCGATTTCCTCACCCACAGGCCTGTGCACCCCAGCATTCCCGTCTTGCGTGTTCCTCGATGCCATCTTTCCAGTCTACATTTATGGTCTTTCTACTCCCTTCTCTGAACCTGGACACCAAGGTTCCCAGCTAGTGTCTGTCCCAGCTGCTGTGTGGGACAGGGCACTGCCACACCACTGAACCCTGTCTCTCTTCTCAGGAACCCTCTATGACCTGAATCATTTTTTTTCTGCCCCTAGAGAAACATGGATCAGCTGTTATACAATAACCAATCACACAAAACCCACGAAACCCCCTAAACATTTCCACCTGTCAACACACCATGGCTGTTGTTGGCTGTTGGCTCAGTATTAGGTACTTGAACTCGAAAATTGGCTTACCCAGGAATTTGGGAGAAATGTCCTTCCATTAACAACCTGTCTACCATCTAGGTTTCCTCCACTGAACTCAGTGTGAGAAGCCATAGGAGTTGTATATTGGTGTGTACACAAAAGTCCCAGGATCTACACACCTCACACGGATGTTCAAGCATTACCTGCATACTTGTGTACAGACATGCCACACATGTGTGCCTCTCACAGGCAGTGGCTACTCACACAGACAGACATCCACGAGGAACGCGATGTACACCACAAGCTCCCTCAGGGTGGTCTTGACATAGAGTTCTCTGTTCTCAGCTGTATTCTCAGTCAGGGTTGCTCCCCAGAGTCCTATGGGCATGGAAAGATGCTCAGGGTCCCCGACAGCACCTCTTTCCAGCTATCCATTCCTACCTGTCCCTAGACCTCACCCCATCTCCACTCAGCCCTTCCCTGCCCATCCTATGACCCCTCAGACCTGGTTACTCCACCCACACCCTGCTTGCCCTCCTTCAAAGTCTCTGTGGGAGACAGGGTGAGAACTCTGGGTCAGAGTGAAGCCGTGAAAGCGGTGGGCATCTGTTTCAGGTCGGGCCTCCTCACCTCAGTCCTCCATGTACCACACTCCCCACAGCCTCTGGGTCCCCAAGTGATGACTGTGCCGAGCGACCTTTCTGGTAGACCAGGAGCCTGGTCTCTTGTCCTGGGACAAGCAACTCTGATACAAACAATTTGCAGACACCAAGAATTCTTCTTCTTTGGGTCATTTTTGTTCCCCCATCAAACCTTGAGGTGGTCCCTCTTCTGACTCTAACACCCCATGAGAACCTCTCCTCATGCCCAGTACCTCTAATGCTGTGACAGATGTGGAAGCAGCAGCTGGACATCAGGGCTCTCTGGGGTCTGTCTTCAGGCTTCTTGGGTTGAGGCTGGGGGAGCGCCCCACTGGAGACAGTGCAGATGCTCAGGGTCCCATTTGGGGAAGGGGGGCTGCTGTAGGCAGGATTGTCCCAGGCTCCACTCCCCAGTGTTTGCAGCTCCTGCCCCTTGAGATATTCCATAATATTCACGGGGAAGGAGGTGGGGACCAGGCACCACAGGTGCCCGCTCTCCCAGGTAACACAGGGACAAAGGCCCAGCCTGACTCTGGCAGCAGAGGGTCCAGGGAATGGTGTCTAGGAGCAGCTGTTCTGTTCAGCCTCTCCTCTGCCTCCTGTCTGGGTGAGGGAGCTGAGCTCACCTAGGGGAGGGAGTAGGAAAGACATAGGGCGGGATGGTAATCAATCCTGTCAGATTCTCTCTCTCCTCTCTCTCTCTCTCTCTCTCTCTCTCTCTCTCTCTCTCTCTCTCTCTCTCTCTCTCTCAATAGACAGGGCACAAAAGAAAGGAGCTTTTAGGGAACTAGAATTGAGATTTAAAGAGGGGAGAGAAAGGGGAGTGGGGAAGGAGGGAAGAAGGGAGGAAGGAAGACAGAGGGGAGTGCTGGGGTCAGATGGAGCCCCAAATGGGATGTCCAGACTTCCCACTGCTGAGTTGATCCAAGAGCAGTGTGGGAGCTAGGGGAAGGGAGGGCTGCAGAACTCTGGGGTGGGTCTGAGTTGATAGTCACTAAGAACAAACATCTCCTGAAAGGACTAACATGGATTAGGGTGAGGACCAAGGCCAAAGGCGTTCCTCCCCACCCACTCAGTGATCTCTTGGCCCCTTGTGCCTCCTTGAGCTGGCCCCTAGAACTGGAGAAGGCAGCTCCCACTGCATCATTATATCTCAGTGAGAGGCAAAGGGAAGCCCCGCCCAGATCTTAAGAGACAAAAGGGGACAGGACTGCAGAGTTCCAGGTTGGTTTTGCTTTCCTGAAGTATGGCTTCGTGGCTTATTGGGGACCCACGCTCATAGAGATGTACTTCTTAAGAATGTGGGCCTCAGTTTAGGGAAGCAGGCTATGGTCTGGGAGGGAGGACATTTCACAGAGCCTAGGGCAAGGGGGAGGTGACTTGGAGCCTTTAGAAGAAGATCTCTGTACCAGATGATCTGGTCGTCTTCTCCTGGGACATGACATAGCATTAGGTTGAGAACTGTAAACCTGAGCATGAAATGAGTCTGAGAGCTGCTGAGCTTGGTCTGCATTCCCTCTCCCTTGACTTTCTGAATAGAGACTTGGCACAGACCTCTGATCACATGCGTATGCCCAGCTCCAACCTTTGCTCGCTTGCCCAGGTTTACCTATAAGCAAGAGCTTTGGTTCATCCAGGACAGTGTTGGTGCCGCAGTATTGATGGTTGTTCTACAAACGCTTATCAGAGATGGCTGCAGGGGACTCACAACCATGAATATTTGCTAGGGCTACTTTAGCACGCTGGCTTTTGAAGCCCACCTTCAAGTTTAGGAAGCACAGCAGCCTGGAGATCTCCAGTCCGAAGAACTCCCAGGGAGAGGTCTTGACCTGGTATAGACTCCACCTCCCTGATTAAACTGTGTCTCCTAAGTTCGAAGACAGGGTAGAAAAGGTAGCTCTCATGCCCCTGAACCTGTCACATGAATTTCCTGTCCAAGGCCCAGACACTGGAAAGGGGTGACTCCCTCCACTGTCTGAATCTGGGGACCCTCTGACCCTCCTGAGAAGGACAAGTGTCCATCTCTCCATTCTCCCAGCCAGTGAGATGGCTGAGGCGCCCGCTTTCCTTGGAGAAAAGGGTGAGGAGCTGGGCCAGGGAGGAGCATCTTGCCTTGATCAGATGAGTAAGGAAGGAGCAAGCTGCTGACTCTCAGCCAAGAGCCTTTAGAACAATTGTACAAGGACTCCAGGCTTATAAAACTGGACCCTGGGACAGGGTCAGGAACAGGATGGCAATAGTATGGTCCCTGAGAGGCAGAGAGAGGAGCATGAGATGGTTTCCCACTCCCTTGGGCAATTCTGAAATCTGGAGGAGGCCTGTGGTCAGCGGAGGTCTGAATGGACTTGAGGACGTTCCTCATGTGACAAGTCTCCCCATTCTGGGAGCTCCAGACCATGATTGATGCTTTATTCAAAGTCACCCACCTGACACCCATCAATCATTTTTCCCTGCTCAGTGCTGAGTCCTTGTGTGTGTGTGGATCAGACCACACGGCCCTTCGGGGCAGGCTAGGCAAGCAGCACGGGTTAAGAAATCTCAGAAGGCATCCTCATTTCTCTGCTGTTCAGACTTACTCAAGAAGTCACAAATCAAACAGAAACTTCATGATGTTTTTGTCTGATACTTCTCCAAGTTCTCAAGCCTCATGGGCACTTAACTCACCCTGTTAAGAAGGGCAAACAGTGTGGCTTGGGGAAGCTTCAGACTCAGGCTCCCTCTTGACCTCAGACTCTTGAATGTGAACAAAACTCCTGGATCTAACGCTGGCTCTCTAACTCACCAGTGGTGTCTCTGAATAAGAAGCTATTGAGGCTAGTTTACTGTCTGCAGAATGTTGAGGACAATAGCATCCCTTGACCTAGGGGGCTGTTTCAGGCCTAAAACACCAAATAGAGACTTTATAACCTGTGTTCTTAAAGCACAGGCCGGACGTCATGTCTTCCCATACCACCCATTCCTGTGCAATCCATTCTTGCAGTTCATGGTAAGGTGGGCACTTTAGGCCAGGACTGTGTTGACATTGTCTGAGTGACGTGGAGAACTGGCTGTGTCCGCACAGTGTCATCCTAGCAGTTAGCACCAGAAGCCTGGGGTGAGGCCCATGGGCTGGAGGGATTTGAAAGTTGTTGAATGAGAGAACTCCCGAGTGGACTAATGACTGGCCGTGTGGACCATCAGAACCAGAAGCACACTGGTCAGGAAGCCCATTGATCCGCTTGGTGAGTTGGTCCCACTTCTCCACAGGCATGAGAATTGGGTCTGGTGCTATCCTAGTATGGAGTGGGAGGATGGCCACCCGTGTTTGTCACCAACACGTTCCCATTTCTCACCATGGCCACCCTGAAAAACTTCTTCAGAGTTGCAGGTTCACCAGACTCTGACACGCTGGAGAGGGATATGGTGAAATGTGTGCTGAGTGTGAGGAGAGCCACATTGGGAGGGACGGCAGCTCACAGTGGCTCAGAGCAAGCAGGGTGAGTGAGCCGGGAGGTGGGCAAGTCATGAAGGGAAGCTGGAGGGAGACGGCATTGCAATCGGCTGTCTAGGTGAGTGACATTAGCAGAGACAGAAAGCTTGGCTACCATGTATCTACCACTCAGAGGCCAAGCACATTACAGCACATTATCTTAGTTAACTCCCACATGGGATAAGTTTTTGTTATCAGTTAAAGATACCTGGGGATCCCAATGAGAACCTCTTCTGGAATAGGGGTTCAGGGAAGTGACAAAATATATTGTCCTTCCTCTGAAAGGAGCTACAAACGTGCTTTTTCTGCTGTGGCCACCAGGTGGCAGCAGGAGGGGGGGTTCTGCCTCAGCACAGATGGAGTTTCTCCTGAAAGATGCAGCCAGGCCAGTGTGGAAGGCTTCTACTCAAGGGTCTAGGGATCTTCCCTCTCCCCTGCTCCTTGCTGTTTCCTCCTCTTTTCCTGTGGGGGATCTGAGGGCTCTTGTCTGGATCCAGCAATAAGTCTTAATCCCCGGGGGCTGGTCATTCCAGAAGCTTCCTAGACATCTAGGGGCTGAGCTCCTTCTTCAGAGAAGCAGACTGGTGTGCAAAGCTTTTAGTCAGGATACCCCTGTGAGAAAGCAGGAGGTGGGGCTAAGTTCACTGGGGGATGTGGAGGTGGAGAGAGTGGGGAGTATCAGTCCTGATGCTCATGTCTGTTTCTGAGTGAGGGAGACAGAGGGAAGGAAAGTGTGAATGGCTGTGGTGTAACCTAAAACATGGTTGGTAGAAACTTCAAGGAATCAAAACGATCATCAGGGGTCCTGGGTGTTAATATTCTGACCCGCCCCTTGGAAACCAATGTTGGTATTCTGACCCACCCCTTGGTGCCGCCCTGTGTCCTGACGTAAAAGCCTCATTTTGGGGAAAGGCCCCTCCCCTTCCTCTCTCTCTTCTGCTTTTCCTCCCATGAGGTGTGCACCCCTTGACACCCCCCTCCTCTCTCTTCTCTCTCTCTTTCCTATCTTCTCTTTGTCTCTCTATTATAATAATATAATATATTTCCATGCAGATACAGGGACTGTGTTGTGAATGACTGTCTGCCGCCACCCCTCCGCCATGCCTGCATGGTGTGGCGGGCCCGCCAGCCTGCTGCTGCGTCTGCTCAGTATGTCATCATGTTTCCCTGCACACATTGGATACCCTCGGGGTCCCCCGTGCGCGGGGTATGTCGTAACATTGGTGCTGGTGATTCAGCAGAGGTCATCCTGGCGCATTTCTTCTGCCCACCGGCAGTCTGAGACACACTAGGAGCCCTGGAACCTTCAACACTCACTTCATCCAACACCGGCATAATCTGTAAGCCCCGCCCCCCCCCACTTTGATAAGCCTCCCTTTTGGCCATTTTCCCACAACTGAGGATTTGCACATCTTTCGATCATGGTACTGGCACCAGGTGTCTTTCAGGCTTTGAGCCCTCTGGCCCCTGTCCCTATGCGATGGCATATGGAAACAGTCTTTGCCCACTCAATTCCACGGCCCACAGCCTTTGTTACAAGGGTCCATTGGCTGTCTTGAGCCGTTCATTGGCCCTTGCTGACCCTCTGGGATGCTGGAGGTCAATCTGCTGGGCCTTATCCCTCACTGTGTGAAATGTGCCTATGCCCCCCTCCTCCCACCTCACTGTGTGAAATGTGCCTATGCACCCCCCCCACCCCCACCTCACTGTGTGAAATGTGCCTATGCACACACCCCCGCCCCCACCTCACTGTGTGAAATGTGCCTATGCACACACCCCCCGCCCCCACCACCACTGCTACCCATGGCTTGGGTTCATTCCTCTGCAGCTGCTCACGCCATGCCGCAGGCCGAGGGGGTCCCTTTCTCCCACCCAGCTGCACTGCTACTCTGTTTCCTGATCCCCTCCACAGCACTGCTCCGAGGTCCAATACATTAACTGTAGAAGTTTCCCAAAAAAGCTTTTCTCTGTCTTTCTTTCACAATGTCTATTTCCTATGTGCAAATAGAAATGTATGATTGATATGGCCATCTATATTTTTTTCTGACTGACTTTTAAATGCTTCAATTTATCTGTTCCTTATCTGCTCAGTTTATTTTGGAAAAAATA